TATATCAGTTTCTGTGAAGATATGTGCATTCCTACCAGGACATTCTTATCATTTAATAATGATAAACCGTGGTTTACTGGAAAACTCAAGCAGCTTCGTCACGCCAAAGAGGATGCTTACAGAAGTGGGGATAAAATCTTGCATAACCAGGCCAGGAACAGACTAACAAAGGAAATCAGAGTGGCTAAAAAAAACTACTCAGAAAAGCTGAGAAAAGAGCTTTCAGCAAACGATCCAGCGTCAGTATGGACTGGTCTGAGGAACATCACCATGTACAAGACACCACCCCCACAGCTTGTTTGTACTTTCTTCTACACTGGAAGCTCCTGTCGTCAAGTCAAATTCCTTGTGTGTGTAAACATACTTGGTAATAAAGCTCTTCTGATTCTGATTCTGATTCTGAAAATGGCATGTTATTGTTTATTTAGTACTGTCCTGAATAAGCTATTTCACATAACATATGTTTACATGTACTCCACAAGACAAAATAATAACTGAATTTACAAAGATGACCCCATTCAAAAGTTTACATACCCTTGAATCTTAATACTGTGCATGTTATTGTTTATTTAGTACTGTCCTGAATAAGCTATTTCACATAACATATGTTTACATGTACTCCACAAGACAAAATAATAACTGAATTTACAAAGATGACCCCATTCAAAAGTTTACATACCCTTGAATCTTAATACTGTGTGTTGTTTCCTGAATGATCCACGACTGATTTTATATATTTTGTGATAGTTGTTCATGAGTCCCTTGTTGGTCCTGAGCAGTTCAATTGTCTGCTGTTCTTCAGAAAAATCCCCCAGTTCCTGCACAGTCTTTGGTTTTTCAGCATCTTCTGCATATTTGAACCCTTTCCAACTTTGACTATGAAATCCATCTTTTAACACTGAGGGCAATTGAGGGACTCATGCATAACTATCATATGTTTACATGTACTCCACAAGACAAAATAATAACTGAATTTACAAAGATGACCCCATTCAAAAGTTTACATACCCTTGAATCTTAATACTGTGTGTTGTTTCCTGAATGATCCACGACTGATTTTATATATTTTGTGATAGTTGTTCATGAGTCCCTTGTTGGTCCTGAGCAGTTCAATTGTCTGCTGTTCTTCAGAAAAATCCCCCAGTTCCTGCACAGTCTTTGGTTTTTCAGCATCTTCTGCATATTTGAACCCTTTCCAACTTTGACTATGAAATCCATCTTTTAACACTGAGGGCAATTGAGGGACTCATGCATAACTATTACAAAAGGTGAAAACATGTTCTGATGCTCAAGAAGGCCACACAATGCATTAAGAGACGGGTGTAAACTTTTTTTAATTGGATGATCTGGATAAATTGTACTAATTTTGTCTTCTGGGAAACATGTAAGTATTTATGTAGCTTCTGAAGTCCAGTACTAAATTAAAAAATATGATCGTTAAACAAAATGAGAAGAATTTACACATCATCATTCTGTTCAAAAGTTTACACCCCCCGGCTCTTACATTTACATTTAGTCATTTAGCAGACGCTTTTATCCAGATGAGGACAAAGCAATCAAAACTAACAAAAGAGCAACAATATATAAGTGCAAATGACAAGTCTCTGTTAGCAAGGATTTTAGGCTTATAGACAACTCTGTGAATGTCCTTGAGTGGCCCAGTTCCATCCTGGGCTTGAACCCAATCAAATAATTCTGGAGAAACTTGAAAATATGCGTCTGCCCCCATCCAACCTGACAGAGCTTGAGAAGAATGGCAGATAATTGCCAAATGATGATGATCAGAGCTTGTCGCATTAAACAAAAAAGACTTGAGACTGTAAATGTGCTTCAGCTAAATATTTAGTTAAGGGTATGAATACTTATGCAATGTACTTATTTCAGTTTTTATATTTTTAATAATTTTACGAAGTTGTGACAATTCTGATTTTGCTTTGTCAGTATGGTGTATGGAGTGTAGATTGATATGGGGGAAAAAATTATTTAAAGCAGTTTAACATAAGGCAGCAACATAACAAATTGTGAAAAAATGAATACTTTCGCAAGGCACTGTATAAATCAAGTAAAGTATTAGAACAGTCCATGCGGATTGTCTGCAATTTTTTATACTAATATTCTTTAGTATCTAATATCTAGTTTTCAAAATGTCTGGCCATAATTCTGTGACAAATAATATTATA